GGCCTTTACCGACATCGAGCCAAAGGATTATTCTAGTTTGTGACTTCCTGTTACTTGGAGAACCCATGTTTCAGAATGGGGCAATTGCGGCTGTAAACGGCTAATTTGTTGTTGTGTCCTTAGGCAAGACACTTCACACACATTGCCTAGAATGAGTCTGTGGTGTGTGTGAATGGCTGGTGGTGGTCGGAATGGTGATGGCACAGACTGGTTGCCTCGCTCCTGTCAGTGTTCCCCAGGGCAGCTGTGGCTAGAGTAGTAGTTTATCACCACCGTGTGTGGAGATATAATGACATGTGAACTGCCTTTGAAGTGTCCTGAAAAGCTCTATATATAAAACCAATGCATTAGAAAAGGGGTGGGAACCTAAGGGTACCTCACGATACGATACGCGATACAAAGCTCACAATAACGATTATATCACGATATGATGATTATCGATATATTGGTCCGCAATATAACATTTGCCAATATATGGCATACATAAAATAGAAACATGTTAAGTGAAAAAATACACTTTATTTCATGATAAATGGAATGGAGATGTGTAATGTAGCCATATATTAAAGGAACAATATGTACAAATCTGGCCAAAAGTGGTACTGCAGTCACAGTCAATATTTTGTAGTCCTCTCCCACTCTCCCTGACTCAGGTTGCCAGATTCACACCAAATCCAGCAGCAAACACAGGGAATTATTTTATCAGTTGTTTGTCCGTCTCCATTCACATTGCCACGACAGCCGTGCTAATGCTGAATGAATGTTTTGATTAATGTTTTTTTATTATTATTATTTGGACATTTGAGATAAAAAACAAAAACAAAATAAAAGCAATGTAATTATACATAGTTTATGCAAAATAAATAAGCAATTGATGTCCAAAATAGGAGTGGGAAGAATGGATGTTGGAACGTATTTCTTCAGCGTATCAACATCAGGGTTTGCTCAAGAGGATATCACCTTTCAATTTTATTTATTCCCTATTTTTTAGACAAACATGTAAAAGTCCCACATCAAAAAGAGACTAACATTATTTTAATTGGGGTACATGTGGTCTTAAATGATTATTTTTACAATTAAGCTATAATCTGCAAAAAAACGTCTTGACCTTCATCTTTTACCGTTTTTAGAGCAATCTGTCATAGAATGTGATAACATGCAATAAATACAAAAAGACATAGCCCGGGATCGAACCCGGGTTCCTGCGTCGTAAGCGCACAGTTTAGACCACTAGACCACCGATTCACACGAGTAGAGATACTGTGAAGAACGGACTCAAACTAGAAAATTCTGCATCACACGTGAACTTTTATCAGCTGTCTCAATTGTTCAAAGGCATCCCGATATAAATCCTCGTTTTAGTCTTTGTTTTGTCATTAATGATTTGAGAGTCATAACAAGACCTTTTTTAGTTCTGCGCCACATGTTATTTTACCACTGAGATTAATGAGCCGCGCGGAGTTCTGGCAACCCGATCACGGACTTACATGACACTTCCTGATTGGCGAAACGGCGGAGGGTAGGACATCAAAATCAAAACAATAACAACTTTTACGGGTCGTAAAACTAATTTTGATAATCAAATATCTCGGCTGAACTACTGTTATCAGTTAAAGATGAATTCGAAAAGAGTATGATTTAATAACGCCTTTTGAAATATTCGGGTCATTTAATGATGACTTGACATGCAAATATTACATATTGCTCCTTTAAGTATTGATACTAAAAAAAAAATAATAATAACTTGGCAAATGCATATTGATAATCGATCGCGGGAGAAAAATCTATATATCGTCACACTCCTACATTAGAAGGTGATATAAATGTGTCTGTATCAAAACTGGAGAAAGTAAAATGTTGGATAAAAAGTCAGACCAAAAAAACCTTTTTTCATCATAATAGAAAATATGTCCTGTCCCTGTGAGACACTATTTGATGTTTTTGAGTTGATATGTGTTTTGAGTGACGATGATCCTCTTGTTTTCACTTTTCTATTCAAAAAAGCTGAAAGATGTGACAGAGGCCAAAAAAGACATGGATGTGAAGACTAGTGAAAGAACCAAACTGTTTTTAGAGCGAGGAACTAGTCTTTTATTACGGTACAGTACATGGTTCAATTTTTTTTGTTTGAAAGTTAGGTACCCCAGCTTTAAGTGTTTTAATGTGAACCTAAATAAATGAGCCAGTTATATTCTGTTGTAAAAGTAGATTTCATACAGCAATTGGAAACGCTTGAAATAAGTCCGAAACATCATGAATTACATCCATCCATTTTCTTCCCCTTTATCCATTTCTGGGTCTGGGGGGTGGCAGTCAGAGCTGCACCCAGTACACCCAGCCCCTCACTGATCCTCCTGCTGGTGGTGAGTCCACAGGAGCCTTGATCTTTCAGCGGGGGCTTTCAGGCAAAGTGGGGTTAAGTGTCTTACCCAAGGACACAACGGCAGCTGACATTAGTGGGAGTCGTGAAGTAGGTCTTGCGGTGGGCCCGAACCCACAACCTTCAGACCGAAAGGCCAATGCTCTACCAACTGAGCCACTGTCGGATGTTCTCATGTTAAATAAATATGAAAAAGTGAAAGATCTATAAATGATGCAGAGTCATTTCCAAACATTGTAATATTTTATAGGGTTGGGCGATATTTTTTTTGTACCGGTATACCGGTATAAGTAAATTAAATGATAATAAAATGCCTTATACCGGTGAAAACGATCATTTAACACTGAAAACAGCGAGCGGAAGACACGTTTGTGTGCGGCGCACTTTGATGACGCATCTGCGCGGCACGTGTAGCAGAGCGGCGTGCAGGGACAACAACAACAGAGCAGAGAGCAAACATGGCTGAGGGCGGCGGTGAAGACCATGGTGAAGACATGCAGATTGTAGAAGACATTGTGCCAAAACGCGGAGCTACCTCAAACATATGGGAGTAGTTTGGGAACTAGATAAAAAGAAGCAATTGTGTGTAACTATGGACAGTGGATCTAATGTTGTGAAAGCAGCTGCCCTAAACAACTGGACTCGAGTGGCTTGCTTCGGACACTCGCTCTCTCTCTCTCTCTCTCATAGTGCCATTGGTAAGCTTTATTTACTGTTTACTGTCATTCATTTTACTTCAATGCATGTGTTTGTCTACATTGCAATATAATTACAAATAAGTTATAATTACATAATTATAGAAACGCAAAAGGATACAAAAAATATATACAGTATTTGATCATTTTGACTATATTGGGATTAGGAAACATAAGCCAAAGTGATCAAATAATTATTTGATAATGCTACACTTTTTATATTACAAAGGACAAACTTTTATATATTTTACAAATTACAAATGTTCACCTTTATTACATGTTGCCTGCAATTTTCAGTATGTACAAAACAGAATTCTCTACTATTCAGTTTTGTTAATACGTTTTATATACAATAGCTGTATTACACATTTTGCTGCCAATAAATCAGTAAATGCACTTTGAGGCAAGTGTGTTTAAAATGATCAGTGCTAAGTTTTTATAGCTTTTATATGAGGCTTTGTTAAAATTATCATATCGTCATATTGTGATACATACCAACAAAAATCGTGATACATGCTGAGGCCCATATCGCCCAACCCTAATATTTTACTATTTACTTTACTATTCTATTACTTTACTATATTACACGACTCACTATATGAAGAATGTGGTGATGTGGAGGTAGTGCGGTGTGCGGAGAGCGGAGCCACTGATGAGTCCATATGCTGACGCAATGATACGTGCTAAATGAAGCTGTTTTTACAATATGTGCGCAGTTAGCATCAAGCGGCTGGCTTTGCTGTGATCGTAAATACTTATTATCATCATGTTTTGCCAATTCTGGTGAGAAAAAGCCCACTGAGAGACCTTCAATCTGGGAAGACAAAGAGTTGAATTATGTTTATTGATTAACTTTTAGATTGTGAAAAAAAAGAGGTTCAGACCCTGGTGGGGGTGGACATGTAGAGACTCTCCCACTGTTGAGGAGGAGGGCTGTGGCACAAGCTGAAGCACAGCTGTATATAAGTAAAAGGCACATTATTTCTGTACCTGTTTTTCAATAGTCCCCAAAGTCCTCTGATGTGTGTGTTTGTGTTTGTTTTGGTCTTGTTGGGTGAATGTGAATGTATGGTGGTGTCTGGAGCATGTGTACCCTGTCCCAAGACCCCGCCCCTACTCGGCACCATCAGCAATGAGTCATTCGGCATGCACAGAACAAGTCATTGAAATAACATTTTAGCAGACCATGCCTCCCAAGTTTTATGGACTGTATGATTGAAAAAATATTTCAGATCAAATTATGTGACCCAATTATCTGTTTAATTATTTGAGGTGTTTCTCTACATACATGTTTCTCTCTCTCTCTCTCTCTCTCTCTCTCTCTCCCTCTCTCTCTCTCTCTCTCTCTCTCTCTCTCTCTCTACAGGTGTAATTATAGCACGTATGTACAGGTATAACCTGCTCTCCTATGACTAGCAATTTAACTTGTGACATGATTTAACTATATTATTATGAGGCAGTAAAAACATCTTTTCTATGATATTGTCATCATCAAGCTCTTATGAATCTCAGTGCTTGAGCATGGTTTAGTTATTTTGCTTAAAAAAAACCAAGGAAAACAGCTTAAAAAAAGAAGAAGTGCGCCCATGAAAACACGTGTTATTTATCAAACACAAAAAGTTAAGTACCTCAGCAACTTCACTCCAATGAGGCCAAAATAAACACACACCCAGACTCTGTGCTTTGAGCAAAGACCTCCAGACCCCTCTGCACCTTGTCTACACACCATATTAAAAGTGGACGCGCTCCACAGTTCCGTCACTGCTGCACATCTTGGCACCATCGCCGCTACTTTATTCACCCACAACTCGGCACGGGCCAAAGTTATTTTAAAGACACACATTGGCACACACCACCACGAGGCTGTGACAGGGGCAGGTGTTCCGCTGGGTGCCCTCTGTGCGCTAACCTCACCTGGGTCACAGTCACACGAGCCACCTGGCCCACCCCCCACCCCTCCACACACACACCTCTGCACAGCTTGTCCAGGTCTGACCCATGGAGCGGTGTTCAAAGTCGAGCGAGCAGAGCCGGGCCCACGGGATGCTCTCTCCTGTCACGTTTAAGACGAGGGTAACGGGAGGAGGGTAGCGGTAAACAACCAGACCTTTTGTCCCGCCAGGGCTGTGACAGTTTTGGTTCAGAGATAATGAGATGGCCTTATGAATGTGAGTGTGTCCGCTTATGCACAGGGAAGGGCAGGGTGGTGGTCGACCGCTGCGGGAGGGAAGAGCGGATTGAGACGACTGGAAGACACGTTTCATGATTGTGCAAAAATGTGGGTGTGTAGCTAAAGTTAGACCCAATATAATATCCTAAGGCAAATAAGGTTCTGGGTTCAGACGAAACATTTATCTGCAATTGATCTTTTTCATTTAGCAAATTTTGTTTTTTTTCCTAGTCCTTGGACTTTGATGTGATGTACAAGCTCTGTACTATACAATGAAAGTATTTATTCATTGTTTATACATTTTCTTCACAACTGCTTTCCCACCTCTATCACTAGATCCATGTGTTGGTCTTTCTCACATTCTCAAGTCATAAAAGAGCCCTGTGAGTCACTTCTTGAGGCTTTGGGCTGAGAGCTGATGTGAGGATGGTCATCTCCTGTTCATTTTCCTGTCTCAAAAACCTGATTTAAACATGTAACTTGGCCAATAATACATGCATGTGGAATTAGTGATACGACCAAACTGTTTAGAGAGCAAGGAATGGATTGTGGTTTGAAAGTGAGGTACCACAGCTTTAAATATTCTATGTTGCACAGAGACGCATCACTAACGTACAATTTCCCTGCAAACTATTTTGAACATAGACCAACCTTGAAAACCCAGTTCTTCCCTCCCCTTCATGGCTTGTCACTTGCATCTCCCGTTTTGGCCTATTGGGGGCGGGAGTATTCCTAAGCCGACAGGTGCTAACCGCTAACGCTGCGCTAATATCCTCATGCATATTGATGAGGCTGCCTTCCCGTTAGCACACCGCTCGTTACTGTCATGGCTGCCAAATGTTGACTGCGACTTCCTCTTTCAAAATCGCATAAATAAGTCGGCTTCTGACCTGCTTAAGCGCGCCGCCTCCCGAGCCTCTTTGATCACGTTGCGTCTCCTAATTTAAGCCCGCCACGCTTAAAAAAAAAAAAAAATCTGTAAAATATAGCCGTATTTAGAGACAGTCTTTATTCCTTCATCTTTCTCTGCGGTTCAAAATGTCTAAGTGTTGTCATTGTATAGGCCTGTGCGCATCAAAAAGATTAGAAAATATCCGAGGATTTTGCTGCTGATTGCTTCCTACAATGCAGGCTCTGGATTTGAACATGGATTTGTATTATAAACGTCGGCAGACAATTGGGGAGTTGGATAAAAATATGGTTGGTTTTGGACAATGGAAGTAGATTGTAATTAGATGGAATAAAGTAAAGCTTCCAGATATTGCATGGCTAAATTGAGCATGATCTGTAAAAAGCAAAAGTTACAAATCTTTCAGAAACCACAATGATATACATTTTAGAAAGTTTAAAGCTGGGGAGTCGCCCGACATGAACTCCTGAACTTATGCCTTCTATCATGGGCAAGAAAGGGCCAACATCTTTTCAGATTTTTAATGCAGAAACAATATTTGAAATACATTGAACTTTAGTGCTCACTTGCTTTGGATGTGTAGTGATTGATGGATAACCAAGGCCCATTGGAATGAAGTTAGACTGTTAGAGAAAGTAACCTAGGCTTTAAGACAGTAGGATATAGCCTATAGCAAGAGCAGTATTAAGATATTCAGACAAAAAAGTATTCTCACCTACATACAAAAGTATTAATTCAATTCAATTCAATGTATTTTTGTTTAGCTCTAAATCACAACAGCAGTCGCCTTTGAGGACTTTAGAAAGTTGTCGATTCCTCAACATCAGAGAATAGAAAAACATCAGCAGTAAACCCATATGGTGGAAAGATGCATACTTCCGACTGCACTATCTATCTATAAAAGAAAGGAGCATATGAATGTGCGCCGGATAAGGGGTGATATCGCTTAGCTTTGAAAAATCTGATTCACAAAACCAAACAACAAATCAAATCCCAGTTCCTTTTCAAAACAATGTTATTAAAGAAACTTTGTAATCAACCCTACCATCTGCACACTGCCCCTTTATTCCCTGCAAGCTCCACTATGACCACAGTTCAAGTCGCTTATTAGCAAAATATCAACTGAGGCAGCGCAAGGAAAGTTTATTGTATGGCACAAGGCAACTCAAAGCGCTGGCAACTCAAAGCTCAAAACACAATAGAAACAATCATAAATAAATGATAATTACATTAAAACGATACAATCCTTCTGCTTGTATGCACAGCTAAACTGAAATGTTTTAACCTGGATTTGAACATTGTCAGAGTATAAGCCTGGAGCAGGAGCACCAGCAGGAGGCCCTGTGCTCCCTGAATTATAATAGATAAAAAAAAAAAATTGGCTAACTACTGAAAACATTGGGCCTGTCTCTGTGGCGGTGGTCAGAGGTTATTCTCCGGTATAACCATGTCGCATTACACACCACTCTTTGTTTCATATTTGAAATTAAAAAACACCATGGCTTCACACTTACCAAAACGTCACTTTGATAGACGCCCAAATTACCCAAAGTTCCAGACCGCAGCAGCAATCCCCCGGACACGCCACATGCAAATTGCGCCCTTTATTAAACCGCGTAGATAACGTCCACTCTTTGACACGGGGACAACAGCCCGTCCCATGAGTGCGCCTCTCGGATAAACAAATTAGCCCCATGCCTATATGCGAGAGGACAGGCGGCTCTCTTGGCCCGAGCGCGGTGGGCAGATTGGCGGCCTGTTTTGGATGGATGCCGGTAATTACCCATGATCCCGCGGGAGAGGCCACGACGCGGGATCACACAGGGCTCGTTAAAGCGGCAGCGATGGTCATTCATGGGGCACAGAGGACGAGAGCTGCCCTTGGTTTTTGTTCGGGTTAAGTTGCGGGAATGGAGACGGCTAGACGGCTTGTGTGAAGACTAAAATTGTCGAGGTTAAAAGACAGGGGAGAATATGTGGTGCAATCGGTGAAGCATGTCCCTGGCTTTCAAAATAGCTCTATCACTAGTTTTTTTGTGTATCCTATCATATCTTTATGTCAGCTTTTACAGACAGATAAGTGACAAAGCTTGGACCCCCCTCTCTCAGCCAATCAGCACTCAGCCCAAAGGATCAACATTATACTTTTATGAGACTATTTCTGTTTGAACGCAGACTGTATGAAATGAATAGACATTTTGATTACCAGCTGAAAGGACAAAACGAGTTGGTAAAAAAGCATACAAGTAAAAGATTGTTCCAAATATAATCATGAATATTTGTCATGTATGTAAGTTTCGGGAAATATCAAAATTAACATGGAATATTCTTTTCTTTAAGGGCCAAAGATTATGCAAACGTTTAGAATTTCACAGTCTCACATTAGGCGATGACTGGCTTTAATTTAGCATCGAGACAAATTCCACAAACCCAGACAGCGACAGACGTTATTTACACCTCCTGTTATTATGCTAATAGTGGACACGATTGCATCTTGTTCCTCAAATTGCACCGTGGTTCGCCAAAGGTTGAAAAACACAGACTTTGATTGGGTCAGTGCAGCGATAATGGACACGTTCGCAGCTCTGATCTGTCTTGGAACCAGCGGCCCTCCCATGGAGCCACAGCGGAGGGGCCCCTCAGTACGGGGAGCTGGCAGGCCACACTTACAACATTAGCCCAGTGACCCGCGACCAGGAGATAATGTGAGGATACAAGGTCAGGTTCAAAAAGAGGGCTCATAAAAGATGGACTCCACAATATCAATTCATCAGATGACACATATGAAGAAAATCCTCTTTTTTGAGTTTTTAACCATACTTCATTAATAACAGGGGCACTAGCTGGTCTTAAGGTAAAGTAAAGATTCATTTATCCCTGTAGGTCAACTCCTCTTCCATATTTGACCCATCCTGATGCCACTATCAGGGGCAGTGGTCGCCATAGTAAAGCACCCAGGGACCTATCTCCAGATGTTGGTGCTTGGCTGGGTCAGGACCACCGGAGATGAGGGTCTCTTACCTATTGTGCATGTTCAAGACCTTGCTGAGAAGTGAGAGTAGTATCCACTCAGCCCCTGTTTGGCCTTAACTCTATTGCCAGGTCAAGCTAAGTCCATTGTACTGAATGGAGTTTGAAGACCAGTCGTTGCTGCGCCAGGGCGTATATAAGTTCTAAAGAAAAAAGGGATGCTGCCCTTGTTCCAATTGCAACTGAAAGCTTGGTGCACAAGACATTACGGACATTTATCAACATTTATTGACATTAGTCATCTGCCCCTCATGGACGAATACCAATGAGTTTTCAATCATTGCATTTCTTGTTTGAACTGTTTGATTCTGTGCTGGCGAATTCAACGGTTGTGTAAAGTCCTCTAAGATGTACTACTGTTGTGATTTTGGGCTATACAAGAATACATTGAGTTGAATTTAATTGAAAGATGGAGGACCAAAGTGGGCAGAAGAAAATATAATTTAACAAATGAAGAGATTAGGAAGTTTCTTTAACTATATTCCAAAAACAAGACCATATTTACAGCTAAGTTAAACAATTTGAGCAGTGTAGTTTTGTCGAAACATAATATTTAAGTTCACCAACTGTGAAAAGGTCCATTGGTCCTGTCTCTCACAAAACTTTCTCTATCCACTCCCTCTGCACTGGTGCAGCCGTGCTCCGCTCTGTCCCTACATCGCTACAGGGTGAAGAACATTCAAAATACACTCAGAACGGCTGTATTTTGACTGGGACCGCTCTTCCACTGCGTTACATTGTCTCTTCTCACCTGACTCTGTATTCTGGATCAAACCACATACATTATTTGTGGGGGGGAAGAAAAGTTAAGTACCCCAGCTTTAGCAGCCTTAAAAACATTGGAGACTGGAAAAACGTTCCCAAAGCTTTGTAAAACAGTCCAAAACAGTTATCGGAGGTGCATCGGAGGTCTGCAGCTACAATTACTCTGTGGTCTTCCCCCCACCTCCCCCTCTCCCCCTGTCTGCTCACCGGCCTTCCCCCGCAGGCCTCGCGGTTTGATGGAAGTCCGCGGTTACAGATCACAGCCTGTAACCTGCTCCGCGGACAGGACAGCCGCGCGGGGCCAGACCTTGCCCGGGGATAGGTCTTCGCCGCTGGGCCGTGGAGGGTGAGGGTGAGGGGGAGGCCGGGGGCTACGGGCAGACGGTTTGAACTGAGCGGCGGGAGAGGAGGGAGAGGGGGGTGATGGAATGACAGGCCGTAGAAGAGAAGCGATGGGCGAGTACAAAGAGGAGGTGATGTTATCCTGTTTCATGAAAACTTTAGCAGGCAGACTTGTTCCACTGTTGGGAGGGCCAGAGACAGAACAGTGGGTTAGTAGATGGAAGGGCAGGAAACAAAAGGTGGAAAATAATTGAATAGGTAGCGTTCATGTGACATCACACCATTTAAAAGAACCTGTAGTTTGAACTTGTGGAGGGCAGGAGAAAGATATTTTTCTCTTAAATTAGAGCCAAGTTCTACATCTTCTTTTTCAGTGCATATCAACTCTCTGGTATATCTCTGGTAACTCTACCTGGTCTCTCTTTCTTATCTCTCTTTCTGGTCTCTCTGATCTTGCTCTCTGGTCTCTCTCTGGTCTCCTGTTGGTCTCTCTCCCCGTTCTCCCTCTCTGTTCTCTCTCTGGTCTCTCTTTGGTCTCTCTCTCTCTCAGTTTTTGGTCTCTTTCTGGTCTCTCTCAGGTCTCGCTCTCTTTCTCCCTCTGTCTCTCTCTGGTCCCTCTATCTCTTCTCTCCCTCTCCTCTTTCTCAGATCTCGCTCTCTCTCTGGTTTCTCTCTTTGGTCTCCTTCTGGTCTCTCTCTGCTTTTTCTCTTTGGTCTCTTTCTGGTCTCTATTTCTGATCCCTCTATTATTTTCTCATAATGGTGTCTCAAAGTGGTGACAAAATACAAAACACATGCATGATGTTGGGAAGTAGAAACAATATTCAGGCATTAGAATAATATTTTTGATTTATGAATCAAATCACTATTGAATTATAATCTGGGAAAACAATATTACATTTGATTTCTGATTGATTTGGATGAAATGTGAATTTGTAGTCCTCTCTTTTTCACTTTTCAGTCTGAAAAATCTGAAAAAACTGATCTACAATACTGTACTATATGCTCGACACTATACATTCATTATTTTTGGGAGCATTTGTCTTCTTGTACTCTAATAGTTTGTTCTCACTTTGTTCCGACTGAATGTGTGTGTCCTCTCACTTTTTATTTCAATCAATAATACAGTAGAATCGTTCCCAAAAACAGCCACCCCAGCCCTCCACCACAGCGTCCAGCCTGGGGGTCCTTCTTCTGAGGAGAGGAGTGGTAGCCTGGAGCTGTGCCTGTGCTGATGAGTGATGGGACACGCACACAGAGGCATGCTGGGAAGATGGCCTCTGTGATCTGTGCCGTGGTTTTTCACTGTGGACGCTCAGATCACTGCATGTCCACTTTTCACTGCTGAGTGGAGTGGGGGATAAAGGCAGCACCGGTGATCAGGGAGTTGTTCTAAAATACAAAACCCCAACATTTAAACACATTTTATCACTACTGGGATAATTGTAATTCTGAGTTGCAGTTTTCTGCAATTTGGAATGACTGTTTATATTAGAACTTGATAAGACAGTGTACCCAAAGTAAAGATACATAATGAAAAGCCATGTCAGATCTACAGGGAATTACAATATGGCCCGTTGACTTGATTGTGAGAATAATTCAACATTTTATATTTTAGAAAGTGAAATAATTCCTCACACCAAAAATAAATGCATAAACATGTATATTGGAAAGATAAATGATCCGAATTATTGTTTTAATCTGCCCTTTCTAGTGGTTTAAGTGTGGGAATACATTATATGTGTATAAACAGGTGTGCTTTAAAGATTGCACAAACAGACAGACATTTTTCCCCTCATTGTTAGTGATTGGGTGACGGCATATAATGTCAAGAAAAGTCATTCACAAGAAGGACCAGGGGAGAGCAGGGAACCAGGCCCTGCAGGAGGACCACCATACTCCAAAACCAAATAGATCCCAAACCCTGTGGAAGTCCCAACATAGCCGCAAAGAGTAAGCCTGGTTTTGTGAAAGTTTGAAAGCAGAGGATTGTGTCATAAGTTCCTGATATTAGCATGGATAGAGCCAAAAACAACTCTAGGTTTGGTTAAGAAGACACATTTGTGTGATCTGTGTTCTGATAGAATGTTGAAAAGGGCTGCATTGAACCACTCCACATTTCCTGATTTAAACAGTTGCGCTCATTAATTCTTATTTTTTTGGCTCTTTTTTTGGCTCTGTTTTTGGCGTGTGCGCGCCGCCGGTTTGTTATGGCTATCGCAATCAGCGGCTGGTAATCACACTGCAGCCGCGGAGAGCGCCTGGGGCCGCTGCCAGCAGCCCTAACGTGGGTCTCCGAGCACACACAGGCCTCAGCATATGGAGCCCGCCATTAAACACAATCACCCAGCAATCACACACACACAGACACACACACACTAACGCTGTATGTGTGTGGGAGAGCCCAGGCTTTAGGGGGTTACTTGTACGGTAATCGGGGGGAAGCTAAAAGGTTTAATAACATTTAGTGAGAAATTACCGAGGATTATTATGGATTTCTGCCAGTGTTTTGTCGATTATGCCAATCCAGCAATCAAATGTGAAGCCTTGTTCAAGCGGAAAGTGCAAGTAGAGGGCAAGAGGTGAATAAGATGGTTCAAGATGGCATCAGCAGATTTAAGGGAGATGAATAACACATTTATTAATTACTTAGGCCTTCAGGTCTTCATTTCCACTGAGCAAAAACACACGTTCCCAAAAACCCTGGGGCGACATGAGTTGGTGAGTCTTTTTTGCCGAGGCCACTGAGAAACTTACATCAAATATAGGGGTAATTTAGACAAAATGTAATCATCAGCTCTTACCATCACATTTGGGCTTTTATACAAGCAACTCTTGTTTTATCTGAGTGGTACTTATGTAGTTAATCAGGCAACGAGAGACCGCAGATTGTGTTCAGAAGATTGTGTTCAGAAACTTGTTGTGTGGATATGACTGTCCTTAGACCCTCCTGCATTCGAAAGGAAAAACTCAAAAAAACCAGTGGGAAAATGTGAGAAAGGTGAAGGAGAGATCTGCTCTGACGGATGGACAGACTGTAGAAGGACAGAGGCCACGCGATTAAGGACTAAGGCGACTCCCAGGCAGGGAGGAGGTGCAGGCCGGGAGAGACCACAGGTGCAGATCAAGGAGTCAGGGGTCTTATCATCACACCATGAAACAGACAATGGGACAGTGGGTGAATAGCAATGAACAGACTACTGCAGGAGAGGAGAGGATAGTGATCATGTTACAATACTTCTCGTCTTTGTATATAGCTTTACCTACTGTACCTAACCATATACAGAATTCATGAGGACCGTTTTATTCCTATCTTCATAAACTGTGTCTGCTTCCTTGACGTGGATGGGAGCTGATTCCACAATATACGAGGTCGGTAGCTAAACGCTCTCAATGAGAGTTCTTGGTCAATATCAACTCCAAGATTCCCAACAGCGTTGCTTTGGGCCACACTAACATTATCGACTGTGATTATCTGATTAGCGAGGGAGTTAGCGTTTCTGGCCGATAAGATTACTTCTGTTTTTCTTCCATGGATGAGGAGGCAATAATATAGGGTCGTCCATGTGTTTAGGTCAACACACACCACTGCGCGCACACACACACACGTAAATGTCAGCAATAATGTCTGGTCCTTGGTTTTCTTTGTATGCCTGCACTTGAATCTTATATTTACAAATAGTTATGAAAAACATATGAATCAGAAACATTGGGACAATTGACCATGAGATATGCAATGCATAATCTTACCATCGGTTAAGGCCACATTCTTTTTGACAAATTATTAAGGGATTTCCCATGTTCCTGAGTACACACAGTGACTATAGAAGATTTAGATTTTGTTGCATCACAAGTTACAGAACAGTAGGAAGGAGGAGCACACAACAGAAGATACAGTAAATGATTATGAAGTATAGAGCAACTCTATACTTAAAAAAACAAAATAAAGGCATTTCTAGTTTCAGTTTATTAAAGTGGCACATGAACACAACCCAAGTAATGCAACATATTTCTTCTGTTAAGTCGATAAATGTTCATTTTACAGGAAGGAAGCAATACAGCCACAATGGGAGACGAGCCGATAATCCTCCCAGCCGGTACATTCACATTTCTCTTTTTTACAAGCAGCGAGTTTCTGAAGTCGACTTTTCTCTGGCCATGACACACGCTCACACCCCATCTCCTCCTGACACATAAATCACAGGGCGTAATGCGCACACCTCAAAGCCCATTGTGAAGGTGTCAGTCAGCGCGCACACGGCACCGGCTACATTGTGCTAAATGGAGGCTATAATGAGAGCTGCACTTTCACACACCTGAGCAGTCCTGACACAGCCCTCGCCAGGACCAGGCATCAGCACTAATCGCACTTTCAATTTCCAAAAGAGCGTCCCCCACTCACCGTAAATCCATCCGCACCGCACTGAAGGGCCGCTTGTTTCTCTTTCTCTAATTGCGCATGTCTTCGGGTCGTAAATCCCCCCCTCAGTTATGGGCATTAGTCAAATAAAATGCGAGGATGGTGCTGGTCGAGCAACTTGGGATTTTGTTTGACCCACAAGTGAGTGCGCTGTATATAGCAGAGGTCTCAAACATGCGGCCTGTCTCTAGTGGACATCTAAGGCTAGTATAGAATGTTATACATCATTTTAAAGCTCATTTTGTCAAGAAAACAACCACAACCCCTGAATACAGTATACATATTGAAGAAGATGACAAAGTCTGGGATCGTGTCTTTAATTCAGACAGAAGACATATTTTATTGTCAATGGTGGAGACAGCACAAACAAGGATGTAAGAAAATGCAAGTGTATTATACAGCATGGGAATGAACATCGTCCAATTAACTTTCGCCGCGATGCCAGTAGCTTGCCCTTCAGATAGACAAAACATTGGAAAAGTGCTGGCTTGCAAATGTTAGAATGAGTAGAATGAGACCTTTAACCATAGTTGCTTCATAGTGTTATGAAATCTCACAATATAACCAAGTCTACAATACTCTGCCTTCATTCCCTGTGGTCCAGTTGTGTTTCAATCCAAGCAGCTGCGCTCATTTTGTTCATATAAACATAAAAAACATGACATCCAGTGGATAAATTCTACATCTGCATGAGCATGGAACTGTTTGCTCCAGTGTAGATACATTTTTCACACACTCAAACACGTGCTAGATAACTCCCACAATGCGGTCCAGCTTCACCCGGACTAGACCTCATGTGGTACCAGCTAACCACAATGCATTAGGACTGAAAAAAATAAATAAATGCACTACTTATTGACACTGTTTCTTGATTGCCACTTTTTGAATTGCCACTTTTTATTGTAAAATAACATATCCTGCATTTAACATGTTTGCACACTTCTTTCTTTTGCACAATCTTGAGTGATTCTAAATTTCTCCTGTGTGAGATCAATAAAGTCTATCTTATCTTATCTTATCTTAGATTGAGTTTGAGACCCCTGGTATGTACTGTATGGTCGGTTAAAGCTGTAACGTTCAACGAGTCTTCCTTCTATCTTTGCTGTTGTGAGGACAGTGTCAGTGTGAGGGGAGCTGGTGTAGAACTATTCTGGGTCAGACCTGGGTTTGACCTGTGAAGTTTAGTGTATTGTTTTTTCAACAGGGACGACGCCATTGAATCTGGAAGATATTTTGGACCATTCTTCTTTACAGATAAGTAATTAAAAAGTAAGTAATTTTTATTATATAGCGCCTTTCACAGACCAGAGTCACAAAGTGCTTTACAATTGTGGGAATTTGTCACTTCCTCCACACAGAGATGGGAGCCAGATCATCTCTAGTTCAGCCAGGTCCGAGCATAGTTTTAAATGGCCACTCCAGAACATTATGCTTGTTCGTCTGCATGAAAGCCTTAAAACCATTTCTCGTGTGTCTTATCAGGCTACCAACATCCCATTGTGTTTGTAACCAACCAAATATTTGAAAATGTGATATGTTGAGAAAGATTGCGGCGGTCAGACAACAATCTCATAATAAAACTTCAAACAGGAGAAGTCCATTGTCTGGTCGCAGTGTTTAGACTGGACCCATGGTAACGGGCCGTGCTGGGCAGCTGACAGGGAAAAGCCACATCCATGTTTCCTGTCTTAAGTGTGCTTTGTAAATAAATAGGATGCGGCCGCAGCAGTAAAATCGTTTCCTCTCAAGTGTGGGACGGTCTCAAACTCGTCTGTGTTTTCTTATGATTTACTGTAACTGAGAAAACCAAAGACCTTGATTACTTTAATGCAATTTTTTTTTTA